AGGAATGCGGGAGGCATAGGGAAAGGGCTCAGGCTAATCATCCCTCACCTTTCCCAGAGGACTTTGATCCCCCGGTGCTTTTCAAGCTCTCCAGCAGGAAAAGCAGCCGGTTCACAGCTTAGACAGGGAGGGAGCACAGTAAAAAACACCAGCTTGGGAAGGTGTTAGCAGCGTGAGAATGCAGCTCGAGCCCAGCTGAGCTGATGGGATTAACGGCTTGTGCTCCCCAAAAGCACCCATGGGTATTTCCAGGCATCACGTAGCCAGCATGAGGAAAAACAAGCACTGACAAATCCCCTGTCCCAGGGGATCAGAACTAGTACAAGGGGTGATGCCCTGCCCCGCGTCACCTCCTGCCCTGCGGTCCCTGGAGAGGGGAGAGTCACCGACATTTACCATTCATCTCACAGCCGATAAGTTCAAAGCGCAGCGTGCAGGCACGGTAGCACATCACGGGGTAGATGCGGATGAACTGGGCGGTGATGGGAGGGTTGAACATGTTGGTCTGCATGGTGCCGTAGTCCACATTCCCCTGGAAAATCTGCAAGGGCGAGCAGGGCTGAGTGCCCCAGCTCCCCTGCAGCCTCATGCACAAAATCTCTTGCCCAGAAGACAGACAGACCTCAGCAACGCCAACTGCAAAAGCAGGGGAATCTGGGCTCTGCTTTCGTGCCCTGGAGCAGTGCATGCATGACCTTGCAGCATTGCCAACACTCTCGACAGAGCTTTGCAATGCTCCCTGCTCTGTCCTTGCCCCATGGAGCCACACATGCAGCAACACCTACTCCCTCCCACTACAACAATGCTCCTCAAATTGTGACAAGCAGAGAGGTGGCTTGCTTCTTTCCTTTTAACACAATAGTCAGGTTGTGTTTTCACGCATTTTTTCCACCGCTGCAGAAACAAAAGAAACTTTTCTATTTTTTAAAGCAAGGCAGATACTCCCAGTCATTCCCTGGATGCTCAAAAAGCAACCAGGAGACATTTCACCAAAAAAAAATGAGAGTGGAGTGCACTGCAATCAGTAAGTATTCCTGCTTTGAGAGTGAGACACACTGTCGGCTCATGCTCAGTGCAGACACAGCACCAAGCCACATAAGCCGTTCGCTAGCACTTCCAGACCATGCCCAGTTCCCACCGTGTGTCAGCAATAAAGATATTATCCGAATGACCTAAATAAGTCAGCGCTGCTTCTTTGGTTATGCTTATTATGGTCAATTAAACAGAACCAGAGAGTACTGCCCGGCACTGGAACCACCTGTGCCATCTCACTGCTAGGGCAGTTTCCAACATAGCTTTGACCCAGGTCAAAAGCATTTTCCCAAAGAGAGGGACAGTTTGGGATGCAGCCCACAGCCAGCCCAGTGCCCGCAGCACTGCCGGGGGGGGGGAGCCAGCACGGCCCCTGCACGAAGCATCGCAGCCCACCTTGTCCGCGTCCTGCTTCTCGTCCTTGCAGAAGGTGAACTCCCGCCCGTCCAGGCTGTAGGCAACTTTGTAGGCACGGACATACTCCGCCTTGCCCACACGGCGAGCACCTTGCGTGATGACCCCACTCAGTCGCATCTTCCGCAGCAGGTTGGCCTGGGAGGGAGAGGAGATCCTGAGTGCGGATGCTCAGTGCCGCTGAGCCTGGCTGGGAGGATGGGCTCAGCATCAGGAGCAGGACAGGGGCTGCCCAGAGCGCTGTGACTTCCTCGGGGTGAAAGTCCTCCATCCCTCCAGCCTCACATCCAAGGGTAGGCAAAGAAGTGGGGACTGCCATCCCAGGTCCCCATCTCCCCCCCCAGGGACCTTGCCTTCTCCAGGCACATCACAGGATGTCCCCAGGTGGCAACATGCTGCAGCAATTTAGCTCCACATTTGCTACCAGGAGCAGAGAAATCCCACGAGAGCAGCCCAGTAAGACCAGTCATGGCTACCAAGGCTGCCCACTACACCGGTGCTCCCAGTCCTGCAACGGGTACCTGGATCCAGGGGCTCTTGTCATAGTTGCTAGAGGTCCAGGCATTGACGATGCCGTGGTTGTTGAGCTCTGGCCCCCACCGCTGGAGGCCAAGGAAGCCATAGTAGACAGAGGATGCAGAGAGCTGGGCATCGGAGATGGCTCCTCCTTCCATGCCCAGGGGAACAGCACAGCCTGGGGGCAGTGGGGACATCAGCACCAAAGACACATGGTGACCAGGGAGCAAAAACAGGGGGTCATTTGCCTCTTGTCTGGGGACAGGGCAGGAAATGGAGGCCACCGCTAGGATCTGCCTGTCCCTCAGGTGTTCCCCATGTCTCCAGCCTTCAGCCAAAACCACACGATGCATCAGCCCCTCTCACAGCACAGAGGTCTGAGCAGGGAAAGGGCTGCTCTGGGGATCCCCTAGAGAGGAGACGGCATCTCCCTGGGGATGTTCCCTCCATCAAGACCAGGCTTACTGGCACCAAGGGCAGCCAGGACACAGGCACCCATGGCTGCCCTCCAGATCCCCTAAACAAGCTGGTGAGATCTCTCCTGGGCACGCTGGTGATGGGGAACAGGGAGGAAAGAGATTTCTGTACAGTTCATGCCAGGGACTTACGGACTTGGCAGGTTTTCCCCAAGAATGGAGAAGGACACTTGCAGGTGTAGTCACCGTCCAGGTCCAGGCAGGTGCCTCCGTTTTTGCAAGGCTGGGAGTAGCACTCGTTCTTGTCTAGGAGACAGAGTTGGGGAGCTCAGGAGGTGACCCCAAAGCCAGACCCGGGGAGGAGACCCCTCATTCAGTGCAGCAATAAGAGGGGAGAGGCATCCCCTGAGCAAGGACCACAGCAGCATTCCCACTGATACAGTGGCATGGGTTAAAGCTGTAACCCAAGGAGCCACCTAAGCCTGGTCCCCAGTGACTGCAGCCATGTGGTGCATTGGAACATGCAGCCACAGCAAGGTTGGGAGCTTATATGGAGCAGGCTGAGCCTCAAGGCACCCCTTGTCCCATACTCAAAGCACCATGTCTCTCCAGAAATGCAGAGCAAGGCTAAGACACTGTCATGTCCCCGCGCCATCGTCCTTCCTTCCACCCTGCAAGGTCCAAACCAGCCTACAGCCCTCAACAAAGCCCACTGCCCCACACAGCCGCAGGGGGTCCGCAATCCCTTAGTGGCAGAGCAGCCCCCCCCAACCCTCCCACCCCACTGTACTCACTGTTCTGGCAGTGTACCCCATCATACCCCGCAGGGCACTTGCAGATGTAGTCGGTGAAGACGTCCCCCCGGTTCGGGACCAGCTGGCACTCACCATTGTTGTGGCAAGGATTGGGGTGGCAGGGGCCTGGGGAAGGGGAAAAACAGCCATAGTATGGGCTCAGGTGGAAAATAAGAGCATCCAGTGGGCTGTTGCTCCTCAAAGACACCACATTGCCCCTAAGCGATGGAGGTCACCACATCCCTGCTTGGATCTCTGCTCTATGTGCCCATCAGCAGGGCTGGATCCCAGGACCAGACCCCACGGTCAGTGGTGCAGGGCCACGACGAGGGCACGCTGCCACGCTGCAAG